TCCTCTGTCCCTCTTTCTGTAAAATCTAACTTGTGAGTATCAGAACTTCCAATCCCTCCTTCCTCATTAAGCACCCCAGAAATTTCAACTCTTTCTTCCTGATGTTAAGTATAAGTTTCCTTTTTGTTTCCATTTCCTCTAAAACCTTGCCTTTGTTCACATGTTCAGTGTATGTTATTTTCAGCATCCTACTGTAGAATGACATTTCTGTTGCATCAAGTTTCTTCCTCATCTTTAGGGAGATTGTCCAGCATTTACTGCCATATAGGAAGACAGATATCACATAACAGTTTGGTACTCTTTTCTTTGTTTCGAACAAAATTTTTCTGTTTCTTAATATTTTGCTTTGCTTTTGGAATGCATCTTTGGCTATTCCAATGTGTCTTTGGATTTCAGCATCATACTTTCTGTCCTCTATTAGAACACTTCCCAGATATTTATATTTTTGTACTTGTTTGATTTTAGTATCTGTGATTTATAATTTGTTTTGTGGGCTTGTCCTTTTGCCGTGCATTCTGTCTTCTTGCAACTGATGTTTAGTTCTTTCTTCAGAAAGAAGAAACTCCTTTCTAATGCACTTTCATTTGATTAATTGATGGAATTCATTTACTGGTTAATTAAAAACTTAGTTAATAAATAAATAACATTTTAATTTCTTTTAAACTTAACATCAGAAAGAGACAGTTGAAATTTCTAAAGAACAGATTTGAAACAACAGAAATGTGAGGATACTGAAAATTCCATGGACTGAACATATAAGCAACGATAGAGTTTTATAGAAAATGGAAACAAAAAGGACACTTATACTTAACATAAGGAAGAGAAAGTTGAAATTTCTATAGCATGTAATGAGGAAAGAGGGCTTGGAAAATTTGCTACTCATAGGACAGATTGAAAGCAAGTGGGACAGAGGAAAACACTACATAACCTACCTAGCAAGCTTGTGTAAATGGATGGCAGAACAGGGTTTAGGAGAGATAACAAAAAGACAAAATTTATTAAGAGCTACAAAGGAGAGGAAATTGTGGAGAGCCATTACTGCCAATGTCCTGAAGGGACAAAACACATTGAAGAAGAATGAGCTTGTGTAAATGGATGGCAGAACAGGGTTTAGGAGAGATAATAAAGAGACAATATTTATGAAGAGCTACAAAGTCTTAATAAATTAACATTGATCAGCAATGTCCTGAAGGGACATGACTTATTAAAGAAGAGAAATCAAAAATGTGAAACAATCTTCTTATATCAAATGAAAAATTTCACAGTCTATGAAATTAAAGAAAATTTTATAATTCTTTTATTGGAAATTTTCTTCTTTAACAGACAATTACCAGAATTACATGGAACTTGTCTTTTAGGTAATTCTAATTTTATTAAGTCACTATTAATTTACTATTATTAATTTATTATTTTTATTATCATTAATTTTGAAAAATTATTCTTCATAACTTTAAACTCTGACTTTAAATGGAAAGGAGCATTTGTATCTTAATTCAAAATTTGAGCTTCCCTTCTGAATATTCTGCTTCTTCTGCACAACTAGAATCTCCAGAATTTAACCATTCCATTCTTGTTAAGTAGACATTTATTTCAACTTTGAATTACAAGAGTCTTTCTGATTTGAAGTATTCTCTTTGTTTCCATTTTCCTTATAACATCTATGTTGCTCATAGTTGAAATCTCTGGGACACTTAATGAGGAAAGAGGGCTTGGAGAATTTGACATTCACAGGACATACTGAAGGCAAGAGTGACAGCAACTAAAGAGTTTGTGTAAATGAATGGCAAGACAGGGAGTTGGGATAATAAAAAGACAAACATTGCTAAAAGTTATAAAGGATAGGGTGTTGTGGAGAACCATGTTCACTCCTCTCCTGAAGAGATACAGCACATAAAAGGAAAATATTACAAGACTACATAGGTAAGTCCATAAGTCAATAGCCTAATGATGAAAAAAAAGCATTTATTTGTTATAACAAATATTAACTAATTCTCAGTTCATTCCTTGTCAATACATTGAACCCAATACATCTCCATTAATTACATAGATTGAATATTATACAATGAAAATTTCAGATCAAAATTCATCTAATAACTATTGGTCCAATTATGTATTTTTTAGGCAGCAAGAATATTATCCCTGGTTTTAAATTAAGACTGTAATAAGACACAGGAGAGTGGTGTAGCTTAGGAAGTTTTATTCAGCTTAAAATAGCTTAGTACAAAAATAGATAATATTTAAAGTGGTTTAGACTAGGAGAATTCTTTAGTCAAGGGATATAATCTCTATGCGGTTACCTACCACAGAGACTTTGTAACAAAGTCAGCAAAAATGAGTTACTTAAATCCAATACCAAAAATGAAATCTTGTTTCCTGGTCATCCAAAATTAGAACTGAGAATTATTTCAAGTCTTATGAATATTATAATTAATTAAAGAAAAGTTTTAAAATTAGGCAGTTTGGGAAATTTCTATGATGAATGAATTTTTAGTTAAAATTAAAAATTGTTGTCAAGTCAAAATTTTTAGTGGGATTCTTTGGTAGCAAACCAAAGAATCCCTTTAACAATTTATAGATTCTGATGTTTGTCGAGTCAAAAATACTTTTTACATCATTGTAGTCAGACATGGATTTCCACTCATTTTCTTCCAATTCATTTTCTCATTCCTCAAAAGAACTATTAACTATGCCAGCTACCAACAGAGTATATATATATATATATATATATATATATATATATATATATATATATATGTGTGTGTGTGTGTGTGTGTGTGTGTGTCTGTGTGCATAAGTTGAATCTCAGTTAAAAATAGAAATTTTCAAACATATAAACCTACATGACATACCAAAGAATTTTTCTATTTAATTTGGAATATACATTATCTGAACATTTATTTTTTTATAATAATCAAAAGGGATTCTTTACACACACACACATATATATATATATATATATATATATATATATATATATATATATACCGTGTGTAGATAGGTGTGTAAGGGAGAGAGTACAAAGTGTCCCAAATTAAAGTATCAAAATGGAAAACATATCTTGTCAAAACCTGTTCATTATTTCAAATTTAAATAAAAATGTCTTTTTTTACTTCTTTATGGTAGGTTTATTTTAGGATAACCTGTTTTAAATTATTTGTATTTCAAAATCTCACCTGTAGCTAATGGATGACAATTTGTTATTGCAAAGATTTATATAATACTGGTCTATGTTGATTTATCAAGAAACAATGGACTGATCAGAGTGGGCAGTGAAGCTGTAAGTCAATTAGCAAAGGCATTCTCCTGAAAATCTATAATGTCCTTTCTAATTATTCAAACAAGGGCTTAGCATTTTAACTAAAAATCCTTCACTACTTTGCAAAGGGAGGTAAATGTTGTTACCAAAACTGATGCAAACATCAGTGAATATCAAAAATCAAATTGAAATTAATTGATGAAAGTTTAAGTAAAACATTTTAAAGTTATTTTAACATGGCTACTGAAGCCATAAATGCCCGCAAATGATTAAAATGATACAAATGTACATTATTACAATACTATTTTTGCAATATCTTAAAAAACATACAATGTTAAATCTTGAGAACCCAAAGTAATTATTAAAAAATTATAGGTCTATATCAAATTATGTACTATTATTGTCTTAGTTACTTTATAGAATAAACAAAGATGAACTGACATGGAAGATATGTCTCTGATTTTACAGTCCAAGGCTACCAAATTACTACTTACTATATGAATTACCAAGTTACTATAACTAATGAGCACAAAAACATAACATCTGAAAAAATAAAAAAGAATAAAAGGAACTGATCAGGAACAATCTGAAATAATTCATTATATGAGGTCCAAGGGAAATAACTTCAATAGAGTTTTAAAATTTCTCGTTCAATATAGATTACTATAAAAAATTAATTAATGATTCAGATTTTAAAGATGCAATGAGCTAATTAAAAAAAGATTGATAATAACCACTCAGGTCATTAGCCTAGTTTTGAACCCAGGACAGCATATTACTATGGTGAGAATTAATGTATTTAGCATTAAAGCCAGACCACTTATATTAGTATATATCTATATTATTATATATCTGTAAATGTATGTTAAATCCAGGATATTTTGAATAGATATGTTTTATTTTGATTACAATGGATTTAATCTGATTGGTTCTACCAGCCAAGTTCTATTTGGTATGCACTATCAATATGAATGTTTGGTATACACACACACACACACACACACACACACACACACACACATATATATATATATATATATATATATATATATATACACACACACATCAACACACACATATATTTATATATATATATATATATATGTATAAAAGGCAAAAAGAATAGAAGTAGCTAATGGCTACTGGAAGTAGCTAATGGCTAATGTTTTTTTCATTCAAGTGGAATTTGGAAGAAAATGTTAGATCATATAAAAAGGTTATTAGTAATTTGAGAGGGCATTTAGGCATTAAGTATTAAAGTGCTTAATTTAATTAATTAAATTTAATTAATTAAATTTAATTAGTTAATTAATTTTTTTTTCTCTGCTGTAGTTGTGAACAGGAAGAGATATAGGAAGAAAAAAATTAAAATATGTGTGCCATAAAGAAAATGACTATTTGGCAGAAAGGAGGAATAATATTTACAGGCAAAAGATTACATTGTTTTTTATAAATCACTTTTTTTTTCAATTATAAATCTTTCTTCATTGTATTAATTTTTCACTCTTTTCCCTCTTTCAGTCTGATTTCCAGATTATCTCATCTTTTTTAGTTTTATTTCAGTATATTCTGAAATTATTTATTTTTTAATATACATAGAATGTGTTTTTTTTCCGATTTTATTTTTCAATTTTTGCTTCTCTTTTTGATCTTGAAAACAAATTAAATTTTCCCATAATTTTTTTCAAGATCATGGTTTCTTTCTTCTCTCTCAAACTCATTCTTTTTGTATGTTTAGACCCTCTCAGACAACAGTCTCCATTTGGGACATGACCTTATGATTTGGTTTCGATGTTGAAGGTTCCTGATTTTGTTGCTGTTTCTTTTGTGTGTGCTTCTTCTGTTGGTTTTGGTACCAGCATTGTAGATATGGTGTTGGCACAAGAATCAGTCCAGACAGAATGACAAAAGCCCCAGAGGCATAAAAGCTGTAATCATAGCTTCCATAAGTGTCACACAGTAGACCTGTAAAAGAGAAATAAAAGAGAAATCAGAAAAGCCTATTTCAACAACTTTATTCATTTTTAAAGACTTCAGTCTAATCTTAAATCTTATAAAAATAAGGAAACTTTTGTTTTAAATATAGTTGAAAATTTCAAATCATTGTAGCAATGGAATGTCCAAACTGACAGACATTTCAATGAGTGCTTTTAAACAATGGTGCGCTTGCATGAGATAACACGGCAACCATCTTTCACAGCTGACCCCTAAATATTCATTTAAAAAATGCCACAAAGATTTACTCAAGTTTATTTATCAATAACTTGATATCCTGTTACAAGTAAAATGCTTGAATAGACATACTTATGGTCAAATTATATTGTTTCACTGATTCTCATACAATCTCCGAAGTTAAGTAATGTCATGCCTGGTCAGTACCTAGATGGGTGACTGTTTGGGAATACCAGGTGCTATAAACTTGAATGTCCATCTTGTGTAATGCCTGATGACTTAGAATTGTTAATCAGAGAGCCAAAGTTCAATTCCAGTTGGGTTCAATATATTCATAAATACCCTTGGGAAAGATATGAATCCATCTCTTCTCCCCCACCCCCCACCGCCCAGCTATGATTTAATTAGTAAGACCTTTTCTGGAAATTCCCATCCATCTTGCTAACTCTTGTTGAGTCATCTTCCCCTTCAAAGTTACAAGCTTCATCTTTGTTTTAGCAAAACATCTTACATGCATATTAATAAGATTAAACAATTCCTAATTAGAAATTTGCCTGTTATCATGACATTATCATTCAAAATCTTTCACTGACCCAATAGTTTTGCATGACTTTTTTTCAGCTTCAAGCTGCTAAAAGTGGTGTATCTTCCATTACATGGCACCTACAAAACTTATTTTCCAGTCTTCAGGATTCACATACACTACTAATAAATGCATACTACAAAACAATCTTAACTTCTTTATAAAAATAACAGTGTCTAATCATTTTTATGGGGTTTTTCCAAAACTTTTGCCTTCCAGTGTATGTTAAATGATAGCAATATTTTCAAAAATATTTGCTATGTAAAATAAAATGCTTTCATATCATTTTTGAATGCAAACATTTTCATGTACCTATACAGTAGTGATCTGAGGTTGTAAACAGCTTAAAATTGTTACTAATTTTCCCAGGTGTTCAGAATTTGTGTCAGGTAATTACAATTCACAGCAGCCAACAGCTTTTAACAACTTTAAAGGTAATCCATTTCACTGGCTTATTTGTTGAATTGTGAAAGTAATCGGTTGATAACCTAATGAGGCCACTGATCACCTGTAACAGGTAAGAGGAATAGAAACACGAATAAGCAGCTTGATGCTTAGCAATAGACAGGTGTTCAATGCTTACCTGGTCTTGGCTTCTTTTATGGAACAAAGTACTTGTAATGCATTGGTTTGCATTGCACCTAGTTAAGCTTTCTCTCTCTTTCAATATATATATATATATATATATGTGTGTGTGTGTGTGAAAAGTGTGTGTATATAAATATAAATATATATATGTGTAATATATTATATATATTATTCTTTATATATTATATGCATGGTACTTATTAGAAAGTGCTCAATATCAGAGATAGAGCTAACATATTTGGTTGGACTGATGTGAGTTTGTGACCCCGGGTTTCACGCTTTTGTGATCGTCAAACAAACTTTTGTCTAACCATCGCAAGAGCGTGAAACCCAGGATCACAAACTCACATCAATCAACAAATATATATATATATATATATATATATATATATATATATGAAAAATATAGTCTTAAGGTGTGCTATATTTATGGGATAAAGTGCTCAATATCGGAGATAGAGCATGTGTAAATATAAAAGTGAACATAGAAATCAACACTTAGAGGCAACAGTCTGTTTCATGCTAGACACAATGAAACTGACTGTCACCTTTTCACTCCAAGCAAGGAAATAAATCCAATAGGATGCAAGAGCTTAGTGAGTGTTAGAGAATATGAGAAAAACTACTATTAAGGAATAAATTAATAAAATAAGACAGAAGATAATGACTGACATTGCATTTAAATTTTTGAAGATCAAAGTTAACAGGGAAACAAGAAGCCAGAAGAGAGTTCCACAAGTGAGAAATATGAGAGAAGAATCTGTTAGCATAGACTTTTAAACTTTAAATTGATGAGACCTTACTGTCAATCCAGTACTACTTTTAAATTCATGAAGTGTTGGGTACAGAGAAACTACATTACAGTGTTGATAAAGGGAATAGTATATCTATATATATATACACACACACACACACACCCACAGGGTGCGATGTATAAATTGTCGTCTAAATTATGCCAAAATGAAAATAACTCATTTTAACATATATATTTACCAAAATTACACCAAAATATCTTGAAATATTAAAGAGTAAATTTAGTCAATAAAATCACCATCGAATTCAACCATGGCATCCAGATGACTTCGGAATCTCCTGCAACTCTTCTGGATGGTCTCCTTGTTTAAGCTGAATATTGTCATAATCCTTGCCTTTAGTTTATCTTTGTTGTTTTGTTGGTCCCTCACCCAATTGCACCCCACACATAATAATGAAAAAGGTTGCAGTCTTGGGAGTTTGGTGGCGGAATGTAAGGGGTGAGGTAGTCACAAAAATTGTCTGACAGCCATGACTGTGTTTTCCTGCTTGGGTGACACGGTGTAGCAGCCACCCTCTTGACCCAGGCCAGCACTTACCTCCTCAAGGCACTTGATGTAGGCTTTTGTGCTGAGTCTGAGGCCCAGTGAGATGATGAATGGAGGCATAACATTGCCATCACTAGTGATCACTCCAGACATCACCATTAAACTTATCCAACTCTTTCTGAATCCTCAGCACAATCCTCAGATTGACAAACAAACACTCTGAAATGTTCATATTGGAGGTTCCGGCACAAATTCCAAGCAGTACAGAATGCCGTTTTCAAATTTCTGGCAGAGTGAATTGTGTCATTGAAAGGTACAATGGCCAAAATGTAACAACAAAGATGAGGACAATAATCTAAATATAAATAGTGTAAATAGTGATAACTCTTCATCATAGAAATTGCAACAGAAATTACATATAAATGTATTTGGCATTTAAGAATTGGTGAAATTATATTTAATGCTGTTTGGCAACCAATCTTCATATCTTCATAATCTTCTTTTTATTTATTCATATCCCTAATTATTCATTCATATCCCTACTTATTTATTCATATCCCTAATTATTCATTCATATCCCTACTTATTTATTCATATCCCTAATTATTCATTCATATCCCTACTTATTTATTCATATCCCTAATTATTCATTCATATCCCTACTTATTTATTTATATCCCTAATTTTATATGAATTTCATTTTGTTTTGAGTTTTGCCAAATGGTTTCTTAAATTTTCACGCATGTCAGACATTATCTGTTGAAATATAAACAGAGCAGATGTCATTTTAAGAGTCACCATACCAAGGAGAGCAAGTAGTTGGCTACAGCTGTTAGGTCATTTAAATAAAAGTGGTGCATGGACCAAACAGGAAAACATCAAGGGAAGACCGATTAGATGGCACAATATTGAACATATGGAGTGAAAGAATTTCCTGATAAAAGCAGGATAGCATATCTTATCAATGCTGGTCAGCTTCAGACTGTGAAAACCTGAAGACTCCAAGCCTGAAACAAATTTGGCACTTCTAAGGGAAACTAGTCTGCACATGAAAAGATAGGGAAAATTTATTTGTAGCTAATTTTTGTTGATTAGCATTCATTAGACTTTCATTAAACTATCATAGGACCTTCATTAAACCTTCCTCTATCCACAAAATTTGTCAAAATCTAAAAATATTTTTCATGGTGGGGATCATGTTGATAATATACAGAGTGCGATGAATAACTTGTCATCTAAATTACACAAAAATGAAAATAATAGACATTTCATCTTAACAGATATATTTAACAAAATTACTTAAAAATATCTTGAAATACTAGAGTAAATTTATTCAATAAAATCTCCATTAATGAAGATTTAATGAAGGTTTAATGATAAAAGGTGGGGATCTTGTTCATAATATAAATACAGCATTGATCCATGACTTTTATCTCATTTATAAATGTCAAGAAGGTTGTTGAATACTATCAAAAACCCCCTGGTGATGAATTATTTTCCACAATACAGTCACACTTACTCTACAGATGAACTGTCATCACAAAACCCTATCACTGCTATATCACTACTACCATGGCATATTCAGACAAGCTCTATTTCTTAGTCCCACCACCCCTGATCTTTACAACTGGGATCCACCATGCCATGTACACATGGGTGAATCATCCTCATTCCCTTCAGATTCCATTAATAAGAAGTAAGTTCCATTCAGATAGATTCATCTAAAAAACTGTTGCTTTGTGAAACAGACTTCTGGCAGGATGTTTTCTTTTCCTAATCATTACAATATTGACCTGAGCACTCCACCATGGTATCATAGTTAGCAAGGTTGTTTCACTAGATCAATTAACACTGAATAGTAAGTTTGATCCTCCCTGAGTAGCCTATACATTTGGCCTTGAGCCACATCTAAGCTATGCTTATATGTGGCTCATTAGAATTTTCAAATCTAGAGTTAACCATTATCTTGTTAGATAGAGTTAACCATGAACTTTACTTTTGGTCTTTTCTTACACTCATACAACACTACACAGTAACTCTCTACCTTGAGTGACTCTTGGGCCTTGTATTGGGTGAACATTAATATAAAAACAAATATAAAAAGAAAATGTCAGATTTGAAACTGGGCCAACATCATTGATAACTTGTTTTGCTTTGTGGTGTCATAAATTTTTATTAGATGTGTGTATACTCTGGGTAGCTATATATGGAAACATAAACCCGGTCTTTGTTGACACTGTAAAATGATGTTGCAAAGCTACTGAAACATTTTGTTTATAACACAAGTAGAAATAAGTTTTTTAAAAGAAAATATTCTCGACTATATTTTTAGAAAGAAATACAAAACACTGCTTCCCAGATCATGAGAAAGATGTAGAAATTCATCTTGTCTTTCCAACTGGGATCATATTAACTGCCAAATGTCCTGCTCTTGGGATTTGCTTAGATGTTTCAGAAAATTTACATTATTTACATTTAGACTAATGTCCTCATTCTTGTTGTTATTATCCCAAGTGTTCAGCCACTGAGATTTCCAAACTTTTTCAAATGTCTGTTAATCCAGTCAATCATCAGAGAATTTCAAACCAAATCTTTTATTTAATCCATGAGGGTAGATTTTTCTTGTTCCACTGCCCATCTCTACAGATATCTTGTTTTGTTATTATTTGTACTTTTCAGTTACTGTTTCCACTGAGCCTGTCCTACTTGGCCTTGATATTGAACTCACAATTATATTTCTCCAAATTCTCTCCTGTAAACATAGCATCAACTTCTGCAGGCAAAAATGGAATGGTTGAGTAGGAAGATCGAAAAACAGTTTCACTCCCTTATATCACAGTTTTGTAAGCAAGTCTTGGGTCAATCACTACATTTCCTCATAATCTGGACTTAATTTCTCCTCTTACCTCCATGCAACAACCTCACTCAGTAACCTTCTCCCTGAATGGTTCTTAGGTCTTGATTTCTTTATTTTAATATTCTATTTTAATCATTTCATTTAAAGCCACTAAGATACAAGGTGTTACTGAGTGTGAAAGAATAATAGAAAATGAAAATTATTATTAAAGAAAGAGAAGAATAAAAGAAGAGGAATTGAGAAGACAGAAGATAACAATTGATCAAAGTTGACTAGAAAATAAGAAGTCAGAGGAGAGTTCCACATGCAAGAAATGTGAGAGAAAACACCATTCACATAGCAAATTTTAAGACTAAAATGATGAAATCTTGTTGCTAATCTAGTACTGCGCTTAAAGTCTGGTTACCAAAGAGATAAGCTCATCAGAAAGATTACCATGAAAAGGCACAAGTAAAGCACCATTACAGCAGTTTGAAAGTGACTGAAGCCAAGATCCCAAATTGCTCCCCTAGAGGTTAGCATCAGCCATGCTGATGGAAGCCAAAAAATGTTCTTTATGATCATTAGTAGAAAAGTTTCATTTTGGAGGTGTTCAAATTAACAAGCCATCCCAGTTCACAACAGATTGTAGGTCATTTTCAAGATCAGCTACCAATTTGATTTTCATTCAAAGTCATAGTCAGTTATATATCATAAAGTAAAGTATAACAAGAAGTTACAGATTAGTATGTATGCATTAGTATGTGTGTGCTAGTATTATTAGTATACATTAAGTCCTGGGTATGTTGATAAACTACGTCCAGCAGCAAGGTATTTGATTGGGAGATTGGAGGTTTTGAGGAGCGGGGAACCACCTCTTAATTGTTTCTAGGTCCACCCTGACTCGGGATGGTAGCAACTGTTATGATTCCAGCTTTGGGCAAATAGTGAAAATCAAGTCAAAAATCAAGATATTAGGAAAGTATAAAAATATATTTTTATAGTAAAAATATGAACAATACATTTTTAAAGCAAAATGACCAACAATACATTTTATTTGTAGTCGAAGGCATGCAGTAGCAGTCAAAATATATTTAGTTGAAGCCATAAAATTGTGTTGAAATTATTTAGATTTCAGCATTAAATAAGCCACAGAGTTTGCTGTGTCATTGATCAAGATCAACCAAACAACTAACATGAAAGAATTCTTTCATGATTCCATATAATAAATATCCTACAATTTCTTAAAGAAATCAGACTGTATTCCAAAATATAACTTCAACAAAACTACAACATAAAACACACATATCACTGCCTCTAATAATTATGTCTACACAAAAATGTGTATATGCACAAAAGCTAAGTATCATCTACCATGTATCCAACTGTGAAAGCAGAATAACATATATCATATTTTTATTACTTCAAAGCTCCCAAGAAAATTAAATTTTGGCATCAAATTACCCATGAGAAGTTGATATGTGGTTAAACAAACAAATAAATCAAATATAGTATGTATTAGTATGTATGCATACATACACATACATACACACATAGATATATGCAATTTTTAAAAGAACTTACCAGCCACAGGTGGTCCTAGAAGGTTGGCAATTCCCTGATAGAGAAGCATTAAGCCATAAGCGCTAGTCAAATTGTCCAGCCCCAGGTAATCCACAAGTAGGATTGTACACAGAGAGTTGTTGGCACTTGAGAAAAATCCGAAGATGGCCGAAGTAACACTGAGAAACACATAATCAGTGCACAATGGCATTAGAATAATAGAAAGACCCGAGATAAGAGTTGAAATAGCATAGACTATAGTCAACTGTTTATGCATACGATCCCCGACAAACCCAAATACAATTTGTCCAAAGGTACTGACCAGTCCAAAGACAGACAGCAAATACGAGGCCTTGTGCTGGGGTACCCCTTTCTGTACACTCTGATCAACAATGTAGATATAGGGGATATCACCCCAAAAAAAGAAAATGAAATTTGACACAACAAATAGTATAAACATTGGATGGGTGAGAACTGATCGGTTCACCATAGTCTTCAAGAGTTTTTTCATTTGCTTTAAGAGGTTTCGAGTTTTCATCAGTTCGCACCATTCCAGAAAGTCCTCAGCGCTGTCTGGGTCATCTGCCGTCCCAACCAGATGCGAGATTTCTGGACAGCTGCAGGATTTTTGGTCAAGGGACAACTTAAGTAAGTTTCCACGGTAAAAAATGTCTTTTCGGTAGAGAATGGTCTGCTGGCTGGCCGCGGACGGCTTTCGTTTTGTAGATGACTTCTGTTGCCACACATCCTTCATGCCCTTCTCGGGGAGATTATCGGAAGTGCAAAAGGGAGGAGCAACAATTCTGTTACTTGAGAAAGAGTCTGGGTACGACGTTGTCTGCTTCACATTAGGTTCACCCAGAACTACCCGTACCTCACTATTATGACATGAGTTCCCCCATAGTTTGTGAAAGACTTCATTTGAAATACTGACCCGCTTGAGTTGTAAATACGTTGGAAGATGAACAACAGAGTTAGAAACTACAAGATTAGCAATATTTGAACAATAAGTCAGCTGGGCATCGTAACTCCGTGACGATAGACCCTCATCAAACTTTGAATTCAAACGAGCATCGTTCTTTGATATTTTTGTAAACGTTTCTAGTGCTTTTTCATATTTTTCTTTTGGGCTGTACTCTAAGGGTCGTAGTAGACAGCCACAGACTACCACGTTACCAACAATCCCCCCAAGAATTAGCATGGTTCCCCTCCAACCATAAATATCAATCAGGTATTCAAGCAAGGGAGCGAAGACAGAAGTACCGATTCCAGAGCCACAAACCGATAAACCCGTCGCAAGGGCTCGTTTCTTCTCAAAGTAAAATGACACACTGACAATGGAGGTGACATAAGGTATGGACATGCCAAAACCTGCTACAAAACCAAAGGTAAAACAGAGCATCTCAATAGAGTTGACAAATGCACTGGCGACTATTCCTGTCATGGATAAAATCCCACCAGCAATGGTCATCTTCCGGCATCCGAACTTTGTAGTAAGGGCCCCGGCAAGTGGGCCACAGATAAGCGACACACCAACAAACAAAGACCCAACCCATGATGTCTTGCTCTTTGTTTCACCAAATGTCTCCAGCAGTTCTGTGAAAAAGACACCAAAGGAATAGGCGCAGCCATCAGCAATCAAGTTCAGCAGAAAAGATGAAATAAGAACAACCCAACCCCAGCCACCATCTGGAGATTGCGGGTAAATACTGTCTTCAGAATCGGTTGACTCACAGAAGCTGCCCCTCAAAGGCTCCGTGTTACAGTTCCTAGGTTCGTCACTGTCGGACATAATAAAGAATCAGAACTGAAGAATTCTGCTAGGTATATGGTAAATATGGAAGATAAACATAGCTTTGTCATAGGTCTGTGCAAGTGAAGAATACTGTGAAAGCAATACACCGAATTGCTCTTGTCAGCCATACGACTCCAGCCTAGCAAAGTGATCCTGCAATAAAGAGAAAAGAAAATATAAAGTAACATGATACACAAAATTATGTTAATGATATTAAAATAAACAATTCCATCCTTACAAATATATCACTGGAAATGCTCTTGAATTAGTTTTCAGTTGTGCATTAGAACAACATGACTGTCAAATTTTATACATTTTGACTACATTCAAAAACTACAAATGTTTGCTGAGATAATATTGTGAAATAGAAAATCATATAAAAAATTGTTGGTAAAACTGAACTGATACAACTCAAAAGCTGTTGAAAATCTGAATATCTGATGTTAGTGCAATTACATTGATAAAACTCAAAAGCTGTTGTGAATCAAAAATTGAAAATTGGTTTAATATAAAGATAAATTGATTTCTCTTTCAGATCAGACCAAATTGAACCTTCTTTCACTGCTTATCAGATATGCCATTGGAAATCTACAACTTTATAAAACTTTTAGATTTCCCAAAATGTTTTTGGTGCCTTTAGTTGATCATGAGACATATGTTAATGCTGTATATTAAAATACAGTGTTACCTGATGGCAGGCATATTCAGGTGCTTTCAGCCTCGAAATGGTAAATGTTTTCAACTGTTTTCTTTATACATGTGCTTATATAAATGATGCACAGACACTCCTAGACAGAAGTGCAGTGAGGCGATACTTTGATCCGAGTCGGAGTACACACTCGGAAGTGATGATTCATAGTGAAATAAATGCAGCATTTTTTTTAGTAGCATGCTATTATAAATATAACATTTATAACTGCCCCCAAAACACACAGAATGTACTTATTGAATATACTTGACAATATTGTAATGAAAATAACAAAGTGTAATGGCAAATATTCAAAATAACTTGCTTATCAGAGCAATGAAGAAAGCATTCTAAGCTACAGATAATCGATAGCAAATTGACCAATGCAGAGCTTTTTTTAATCAATATGCTTCTCCCATTACTGCCAGGCTATAAACACTGTCAGTAAGAGATATATGTTAGCACCCAGATAACCTAGTACACATCTCCTTCATACCTAAAAAGAAAAGTAAAGTGGTTAATATTAAGATGCTGTGCAAGTTGGTCAGCTACCAACTTACTTTTCAATAGGTTAGAACAGAAATATGCATTTTGATTGTTGTTCTTACAAATCAGGAGAATACAGAAATATTTCTAGTTCCCTGGGTCAGATTTTTGCCATGAGTCTCACAATAAAATTGCAATTAACAAACCAATATTGGTAGGATTTTTCAAGATATATTTATATTAAATACTAATAAAAATATCTAATGGGCACAAAATGGGTGATCAGTTTTCTATTGTTCTTAAGTAATAAACTGATCCCTCTTTTCTGGATTTAATGATGCAAGTCAATGTTTTAACAATAAAATTGAAGATTTTGATATTGACAGTGTATTCAATATATATATATATATATATATATATATATATATATACATATATGTAAGCAAATATATATAGATATAGATCCCATAGTATGAAGTACATATATATATATATATATATATATATATATATATATATATATATATATATATATATATATATATATATATATATATATATACTGAAACTCTCCTGCCATTTTGAATGTATGAGGGTTCAAGTAGCTCAGTTCTGAGAACCAACAGCCAGACTACCTGCACATATCATTTGATTAGTGGGGAAGGCTTGTGCAGAACCAATCACACTTTTTGGAAAGACCTGTATACAGAGACCTGGTGTACAGTACGCCACAAGGTCCCCAAACGACCATCTGCAGGTTTTGAATTCAGAGTTGTCCTTCTCCTAGTCTGGTTGCCATCCAAGGCTATAGAACCCAATCTGTCCTACTGAGAGGAGAAGAGATGGATTCATACTTTTCCCAAGGGTATTAGTATGTAAGTGAATGTAATGAACTTGATTGAAATTCAAACTTGGCTCTCTGATGGTGCAAATCTGAGTTGCTATCCTTTACCTCCATATATATATATATATATATATATATATATATATATATATATATATATATATATATATAAAATGTTTGATTAGTTTCATATTTTATCTGCCTGATGATTATGTTGCTGCATCAAACTCTGAGTAGTGGATTTTGATTACCATCTTAATATTACTGTATTAATAATATAATATCTTTAACCTCTGCTGACTTGAGCATTGAGATTTTTCTAATATTTTAATCTTTTAGCTTTTATTTTATTATGTGCTCCTATTGTGGTTGAGTAGTCTTACAGACTAAAATAAACTATATCTGAATTTAGAGTTATCAAATCATACCTAGTACCATACTAATATCACATCAGAACCATTTAAATGAAGCTATTTAGATGGACTTGATATTTTATCTGCCTCATGACTGTGTTATTGTATGAAGCTGAGTGACAAATTTTAATAAACATCTTAATATCATTGTATTAATAATATCATAATATATATATATATATATATATATATATATATATATATATATATATATAAAATATTTCATTAAATATAGCAAAACAAGGAGAATTTGATTAATTTTTTATTTATTTTTCTAGCATTCTTAGTAAGAGAGTTCAAAAATTGTCCATATTGTTCATTGTCTCAAGTGCTTTCAGCCACTTCTTTAGCCATTTTCAAGGGGTTTCATTTTTGGTGTTGTTAGTTTCTCTTCATGTTTTGACTGTTTAAGATGTATTTTATTTTTATGTTGTTTCATTGCTCAGTACAAGACTGCGTTTCTATTGAAAATTGAAAAAAAACTTTAAGAAAATTCTGGATGAAAGTGTTAAAATTCTATATAAATCAAATTATTGGAAACATCTGACTATAAGAGAGGTTCGTATATTAAACACCTCTCTCCCACTATTGACCTCACTTTATATAACAGTGGGAATGGGAAATAGTTTTTTTTAAAAAATAGAAGGATATGAATTCCAGACATGCTCAACAGACAAATGCTGAGAATAAATGCTCCTACTGGTATTCAAAACAACAGTGGCAAGAGGTTACACAAAATTGTTTGGAATTGAAATAAATTGTTAATGACACCAGTCCCATTATTTTTAGATATAACTCGTATATATATATATATATATATATATATATATATATATATATATATATATATATATATATATATATATATTAATTTATATTTATTTTTTGATTTCTGATATACAAAGAGTGGTATGGATTGTAAGAAAGACAAGACATTGTATCAAAAGAGAAACAACATATTGTAAATTTGTTGATTGATGAAAATGCAAAGTTGGAAATTATAAAAAGAGAGGAGTAAAAAAACTGAAAAACATGGCAACATGGGAACAAAAGAAAACAAAATGGCTTTAAGAACGTCCAAAAAAAAAAATTTGCAAAAATTAAAAGGATTATTAAACAAAAACAAGGAACAATATTCAAAGAACCTGGTGTCGCAAATGTAAACAGAGAGAAAAGGAGATTTCTGAAGACATGAATGTAACCAAACTACCACCTTTTGATGCCAATCAAACTGGGTGTCACACTATGGGGTAGTGGTTAATGAGGCTAGTCTGGTTGACCATTACTACAGATTAATGTGTTTGATTCTCATTGGGTGTCCCTTAGAAAATCCAACAAAGATTGATATGTTATAAACCAATGTAACTAAACAGGCTCCTCACCCTGAAGTAAATGCATAGTAAGATAAGTCTGGATGACTATTACTACTGAGTATGGTTCTCACTAGGGTGTCTATAAAAAATTGACATTATATAATCCAACAAGCTTTGACATGTTATGAAATAAGTCACCTATCGCCCAATGAAACTTTATGGACATAATTCTTAATCTGAAATTGCAATGGCAAGTAAAATTTGATTAATTTGAACCTAATTGTTTCAGTAGATACCACTATAGGTGTACATGAATAAACTGATATCAGAATGAGTAGAAAAATTATGTAGCTCCAGAATTTTAATTATGGAAGGGCCACTTGCTTTGAAAATGACTTTCTGAAATTCTGGCCTTTACTTTTTAATTTTGACATGATTTTGACATTGTTTATTTTAAACCAGCAGAAGTTGTTGGGCTTCAACTTTTACTAAAGGGCAAATAACAATGATGAATTTGTTGGAACCACTTTGGCATTTCATGATACCTTGTAGGTAAAGTCACTAGACATTCAGAATTATTTTAGGGAAAAAATAAACTCCAAAGTATAAATGACAAATAGAGTTGTTATTTTTGGATATTGACATAGGATCTACATGTGTGATTTGCTATGCATAAACTGATGTAATGTACTTCAATGTACAAGTAATACGTTTCTAAAATTTCTTCTTTTTTTTTATGAGAATTAAGCAGAGTGGAAATAAATAGTTGAATTGAAACCAGTGTAAAAATCCCTGAGGGGAAGAAATTGCAGACATTTTGGAAGTGTCAAATTTCATTGAATATAAATCTGTTTGAGATAAAGCTATCCAGTGTGAGGTTCACCCACTGGCATTCTGTTGACCTTGACAGTTTAGGGGTCCCTACCAAAACTTCTGTTTCAGATAGCATTTTATACTTGACTAGCTCTATTTCTCACCTAAAAACTTCTCACTCTCTCTCTCTCTCTCTCTCTCTCTGTCGCTCTCATGATAAACTGGCAATACTTGGAGAAGTCAATAATATCCCCAAAGATGATAAAACCTAGTATCTTTTGTTGCATTTTTTATTTGATCTCAATTAAGACTGTAGAATTCACAATCTTTCACCACTGTTAAAAATCTCTCTCTTTCTCTCACTCGCTCACTCACTCTCTGTGTGTGTGTGTCTCTCTCATGATAAATTGGCAAAAATTTGGAGAAGCCAATAAAATCTC